CCTTGTCTTAATGACACAGTGTTTCAGTGGAATAGGATCTCAGCCGTCATGCACGACGCAGGAGCATCTGCTTGTGGCACTATCCATCGTCACCGCACTAGTCACTGGATATCCGAGAGGTCGGTGAACCTGTTGGAACCTAGAAGACATCTCCCGACTGGCTCTGAACACAATGTGACCAGACGGGATGTTAGGCGTGAACTAAAGCAGAGCCTACGTGCTGACAAGGAAGCCTGGTGGACCAGTAGGGCTCAAACAACGGAGGATGCAGGAGCAGTAGGCAATTACCGCAAGCTCTTCCAGCTTATCCGCACCACTGGTCCCAGAAAACAATACGTCAGTGACACAATCAGAGACAGCGCGGGTGCCCTGATACACAATAAGGATCGCTGTATGGCTCGTTGGGCGGAACACTTTCATGATCAGTTCAGCTGGCCCCCTGCTAGCGGACCTCTTCTTATTCAGGTGATACAGGATGAGCCATGGACGGTTAGTTTAGAGCCTCCATCGGAGGCCGAGGTCCGAAATGCGATCACAGCCCTTAATCGTTTTCATGCCGTTGGCCCGGATTCCCTCCCACCTTCACTATTTAAAGATAAAGGTGAGGTCCTCTGCAAAGCATTGACCTCTTTATTCGAACGTATCTGGAAGGAAGTGTCCCGGCTAATTGGAGCGAATCGACCATAGTGGCAATATACAAGAAGGGCAGTCGCACCGACTATTCTAACATCAGGGGTATTAGCCTAACACCAGTTGTGACAAAATTACTTGCCTCGATTCTCGTTCGTCGCCTAACTGTGGAACAGGAATCTCGGATTAGGGAAGAGCAGGCCGGTTTTCGCCCAGGACGTGGCTGTATAGACCATATATTCACCTTTCGGCAGGTGCTAGAGCAGCGCCACGCATACCGCAGACCGACAATAGTTGTGTTCCTCGATTTCAACAATGCGTTCGATCCAGTCGATCGATCCGTTCTGTGTTCCCACGAAATATGTGAACATCCTACGTGCTCTATACTCGAACACTACAGGTCGCGACAAGGTCTACGGTAGCATACCGGATAGCTTTCCGAGCACAAGTGGCGTTCGTCAGGATTGTCCAATGTTACCGTTTTATTCAATTTATTTGTAGACTCTATCGTGGAGTGTTCCCTTGCGGAATCTTATGATGTAGGCGTTGAAGCGCTGTCTGGTGAAAGGTTAGTTGAGCATGATGATGCGGACGATATCGTGTTGCTTCTCGACGATGTTGCAGCGGCACAATCAACCCAGAATAAGCTGTCTAGGGTGGTCCCATTAGTTGGTGTGCACTTCGCACCTTCAAAGTGCAGTGTTGCTGCAGGACCATCAGCCACTTGATGATCCCTTGATGCTTGCTTACGAGAAACTGGAGGTGGTTTATCAATTCACTTACTTTGGCAACTGCATCAGCAACGACGAGCGCATACAAACAGAAGTCGGTTCACGCATTGCGAAGGCCAGAACTGCTTCCTTGAACCTGCGGCATCTTTGACGACAGAAGGGAGTTGCCCTCCGTCTGAAAGGCCGTGTATACAAGGCCACAGTGAGGGCCGTTCTGCTCTATGGTAGTGAGACTGGGCCCCTTCGATCTGAAGATCTGAGGCGCCTTCAAGTCTTTGATCATCGTTGTCTGCTGGTATCGGATGGTACCAGCGTGTCCGCAACAATGATGTGCGTAGGCGAGTATTAGGTAGTGATAATCATGCTAGCTCACTAGAATAACAAATAGCACTGAATAAGTTGCGTTGGCTGGGGCACGTGTTACGTATGCCTGGTCACCGTTTACCTAGGATGGCCTTGTTTAGTCTGCCAGATGGAGGATGGCGCAAAGCTCGAGGTGGACAGAAATTGACTTGGCAGCGGGAAATGTAGTCATTTATGACCAAACTCAGTGCTGTTGGTCCTTCTCGCCTTTTGGGCTGGAGCCCACGTGACTCACCTTGTGCTTGACTCGAGACTTTAGTCATCATCATCATCATTACACGTTAGCTGGAGGTGGAAAACACCTCAACTATTGTGCCGCAATATAAAAGACAAGAAAAGGAAAACAATGGCAAACAGTGGCACGCCCGCTGAGTCCCCAGTAACGGATGGACATCATTCCGGAGAGCTAACAGCTTGCTGCCGTAAAAGAGACTCGTATTATACCTAACAAGTGAGATCGTGTTTGGAGGGGGATGCTAAACAGGAGGGGGATGGACAAAGGAAATCACAACACAAACGCCATTGATGCCGGCTCCGAGCCATATCAGCAAGTGTGTCCAACCAAACGTGTTCACCGTCCTTAGAACCCCAGCCAGGCAGTCGGGATGCACCAACCGACGCCAACTTCGAAGTGAGGCTTTTCATTTCTCTCGACCAAGTCCTCACTTGGCCTCCCCTCCTCCTCTTCCAACCGCACCCACAACGCGCAAACAATGCACGTCGCGGGAGTCGGTGTGCTGGCATGCGCAACACGTGGCCCAACCATCGGAGCCTGGTGCGTGATATAATGGTGCTCAGCGGTCCACTCGCTCTTCCTGCACCAAATACGCGGCGTCGAACACGCTCATTGCTCACGCGGTGTTCCCACCAGACATGAGCTAAGCCGCGAAGGCAACGATGATCGAATGTGACGAGCCTCTTCATGTCTGTACATCGCTCGAAACCGACACCAGTAGCGCATCTGCTGCTGTCTCCTAATCGGATTGCCTGTTTAAAGTGTGTTTGGTGCTGAGTTATCTAAGGGGTAATGGCTGATTATGACGCGCGACGGTGAGAGCCGCAAGGAAGCTGTCTCGCCGATGCCGCGTTCGCAAGATATCCAACTGTTTGTGACGGTATGTTGTTTACACAATGTGTAGGCGCCTTGACCCTGAGTGTTTTCAGGTAAGTCCCCCTTCTCTCCGTCTTATTCTTTATTCCATAGGTCATCAAGGTTGTGTGGTAGCGAATCATCCGTTCAAATGGCTGATGTACTGCTGTTGTTGATGATGATCCAGCGGTGAGTTTCCTTCCAGATACCAATAGGTTAACTGACCTCTCGGATATCCAGTGACTGGTGCGGTGACGACTGTTGGTGCCGCAACCAGAGGCTCCCACGTCAAGTATGGCGGCTGAGATACTATTCCACTGAAGCCAATTGTCGATAAGATAGCGAATGTTCGGTGCGCACAGTATCCTGGTAGGCTTGCCTGACCGAGGGTTGGGATGACTTCATGGTTGTCAATGGAGAGAGACGCGTAGCAGACCTTCGGTAAAGTTCATGAACAACAGCGCACCAAGGCATGATCAGAATCGACGCAAGCACTGCAAAACGAGCGACAATCCAGGAAAGAACTACCGCACCTGTTACTTATGGCAACGGTTTCTACCTGGGTTCATCGCTGGCCAACTACAGGGGGATGCCAAGTGGCACTTCGGCGCTCACAGTGTTTAAAAGCGGCACTACGAAGAAACTAACGGTGTTTCGCATACAGTTGCAACAGACACGCCGCTGTCCATACGGACGGAGTCCAGTCTATATGTACAACCTAAATGAGCTTCAGAAGAACTCAGGTGATCTAGTTGCGCATTCATATCACTGCAACAACAGTATCCGAACTGGTGACACTGCCAAGCGGGCTGTTCAGTTCGTAGTAAGTGGAAGCATAAACAAAACCATAAACAACCATTATATAGTGCTACTTCGTGAACAAACCTTAGTTGAAGTTGTCGAACGGGTTGCATACAAATGGTTGTTCACCGGAATCAAATCAACCAACGATGACTCAACCTTGGAGTTGGGAACGATACCTACTACAGCTTGATCCGTGAGTGCTGCATTAGTCTCCGGATGTGTGCAACCAATAACAAGAGGACGAGCCAGACGCCGTTAATTCAACAACTCCGTGAGAGTCATTGATCCTGGTTTCGGACACACAACACACGTCTACACCCACTGTGTCCAACATGCGTGCGAGTGCAGCCTGATAAATCGTCTTTGAATGAAAATGCTGAACGCCGCGGACGAAATCGGACAGCGTGGTTTTGTAAAGGGCTGTTGCAGATAAACGTTCAGTGGGTGGTGGGAGAAATTAGGTGCAGATGGTTCGACTCCAGTGGCATTGCGGATACTGTTAATTGGGCTGGGAATTATAGAATGAGGGTTACTAATGGTGGTCGGGAGGGGAAAAGGAGGCGCCAACAGTAGCATGTTTTCGCTTATCAGTCTTGCTGTATGCAACGGATAAGGCGACCCTTAATAATCTGCGCGACGGCCGATGCAAGATGTGGTCGAAGTTTTAGGAAAAACTCATGGTTGTATATGGGCCAAGATACTGTCAGGATGCCCAGACAAACAGGATGACTAGGGACCTTAGCTAAAGCCTTTGGCTTAAAAGCTTGTCCGCAAGGCAGTGGGGAAATGGCAAGGATTTAGTTTCACAGAAATGAATGCCATCCCATTCTAAAGACCCACTTTGGTGGACCAAGAAAGTGAGTTCGTCTCACTTCTAACCATCGAGCAACCTGTTGGCAGTAGCTCTCGAGGAGCCAGAGGTTCCAACCTAGTATAACTCCAATGGGTCGAAGACGTACGCAAATCGTTGCAACATTTTAAAGTTCAATCTCGTTGCGAAGGAACGTAACGCGGCCGGTATCCGAACGTCGACTGAAGATATGGGTAAACTGCTCCAGTATACGGACAATATAGGAGCGCAACGCCACTAAGCACAAACCACGGTTAACGCGCCGATGTCGATAAAGGAAGTAAAATGGCAGCGAAGCATCAGTGCAAATGGCTGATGTACTGCTGCTGATGACAGTACATAGTGAAGAAAAGTTCCTTAGTGGCAGACCAGCTACTAAAATGAACAGAAAGCTGGGTGTGTCAACACTTGAAAACCGGTGAGTGGCCGTAAGCTACATTCGGAAGGGTAAAGCCTAAGAGTTGGAGCACATGATAGCAAATTAGCATGTTTAGCAGGATCAAAGTTACACAGGACAAAATATATGACTTACCGACTGCGTACAAATCGGTGCAAGAGAAGCAATTCAATTTTTGCTCTATGGCAGCAGCGACGTTTTGTCCCATAACCAGTGCTTTTTTCTGGAGATCAGAAACCCAATCTGGGATAGCCTTCAAACGGCAATCATGAACCGAAGTCCTACCACAAGACCATTGTTCGACAGTCTCGTGAATGCGTGCCTTACGAAACCTCGAAGCAGGTTGTAACGGAGGCAACGTAGCAACGGTCAAGGATGACTCATCTGGTGCAGCCTCAACGCTCCCCGAATCCGATACCAGTTTTGTGGACGAGCCCTGTGATAACCCATCTGAACGAACATGGCGAACGCAATCTGTGGAAGACTGGGTGTAAATCGAACTTGGGAAAGGGTTGTGGTGCTGGTAAAACAAAACTGGGTGCGACGGCCTCAGGTCAGAAACGTGGGCAGCCGAGGGAGATAAAGGAGAACGCATTGAACCAACATCTCGAAAAGTGGGCTCAATGGTGGGAAAAGCCTTCGGCTCTGGTGTGACTTGTGAGGGTGGAGATACGCGTGTAGATACGGGGGCGGTGCGAGCAAGGTGACTTGTTAAACTAATCGATTTGGGGTGTGATGTAGATGTTGGCGAACGAAACCCTGAATCCGCGAGAGGGAACATTGGGGGCCGGTCAATCAGTGATTGATGACAATACTCAGTGGCCGGTCGGCCCTGGTGCCGAGGACGAGTAGCAGAAGGGGCATGTCCACTGATCAACTCTGAAAATAAGAGTCGATGCCAGAGAGGAATGTGTTTATGGGCCGAGTGAATGGGACCAAATTCGCTCCCCGTATGAAGCAGCTGCAATGGCAAACCAGAAGGGAGAAATCTATGTACGATGTATGTAGATTCGGGAGAATTTGAAGGCAGGCGAAAAAGTGAGGCCTAGAATGAAATTGGAGGTGTAGTTAGACGTCAAAGTTGTGAGGAAAACGCGAAGAGTAGTCGGGTAAAGTCATGGCGCTCAGATGTGATGAAATGGACCGTACGCCTCGCGGTAACAAAGAAGCTACATTTTCATAATAACCAAGTGGGAGTACATCGGTTGGTACTCTGCTTGTTATATAGAACCCGAAATTAAAAAGGGTGATCGTACTAAAATGCAATACGAGTAACGAGAACTAAATGTAAGATCAAATTGCTTTCAGGGCCAGGTCGCAAAGATATTGTAACGTTAAAAAGTCAAAAACATATAGTGTGAAGATGAGACGGTATCTGCAAGACGATACTCAATACTTTGCGTCAATCATTTCCCATGGGACATATGAAGCACCAGTCATAATAAAGGCATCAGCAGTAGGCGGGCACACGGTACCGACGCTCTGTTACCATGCAACCATCACCAGTCACGCATAAGTTAGGAGGGTCGTCCGTCCCTTATGCGGGCTGGAACCCGCAATCTCCAGATTACAAGGCTGGCATCCGCCATAAGCACAAATGAGGCAAGACAAACGGCGTGGAGAGGAATGCTGTATACACAAGAGCGTGCAAAACTGTTTCGAATAGGAGGCAGTCACTAGCAAAAAGACGGAAAGGTGTAACTTTGAGAAGTGAATATGTTTAATATTCATTGTGACGCAGAATTTTGCTTCGATAAACGATCCTGCAAAATCAATGTAACTGCTGGTCAAAAAGGAGTATATTGAAAATAGGATGGTAACCAACATCACTTCGAATGGAAAAATGATAATTGGTCATATTGCGTGTCACGTTTGAAAGGTATGTAATGTGTGCGAAGTAGTGTAGCGAAATCCTTCAACCATTCTATCGTCCTACAGAAGTTGTAAGAAATTGGATACCACAAAACACCTCTGGCAACTTTTTAATCGCTTGATAACCTTTTACTATTGCCATTTATAGCTTGTTTATATGCTTGTACACTGGGACTGACTTTGGGGGTTGACGATACACATGTGCAACGTACTATTCTCGTTCTCATTGAGTTCGAGTCTGGCCAACTGGGTTTTACTATTCGTTGAGATAAACGTTAGCACATCGGATCTACTTTTGTCCCCATTAGAACCACTGCCCGTCCCATAAATGGCGACGGAAATAGGATATGTCTGTTTAGAAACCCTGCCTTATCCCGACAGCAGTTTTCTTAGGTGGATTATAGCTCTTTTAGCGACCACTAGCTTTCCTGCGACGAAACTGCTTGTTGCGGAATCTGTATTTATTTTTGCAAGCCATCAAGTTTAAACCGATTAGTGCTATCGGAAACGCTAAGGACATCTCATAATATAATGGATAATGAAGCGGGTTTGAGCGCAGCCTTGTCGCATTGCAAAAAGTAAGTGATCGCTGGATCCTGCTTAGACAGCTATTGTTGTTTTCTTTTTTGCTCTTCCCTTCTCGTTCACGACACAGAACAAGTCTTCCAGCACGCTCGGCCTCGCAATGGGTGGTTATAAGAATACTATCCAAATGGCTACGAAGTTTATGCTGTTTTTCTACCATATCGGTTTCTTGTGATGGACGCAGGGCAATCCTGGATCCCGAATTGATACACGCGGCTGACGTGCATCTATCGTTCTCACTGGCAAAAGCATTACGTCGGCACGCAGTACATAAACTTCGCTACCATGCAACCACCACGAGTCAGATGTGGGCAAAGAATACCGCGATGGTCGCCCTGCTCCAACGAAGATTCGAACACATGCCGTTAGATTACAAGACAAGCTCGTTATCTTTAGGAGACACACTATGTTAGCTAGAGGTGGGAAACACCTCAGCTGCTCTGCCGCAATACCTAAAAGAAAAGTAGGGAATAAAATGCTACAGGTGTAAGCCAGCTGAGCTACCGGCAACGGATGGGCATCGTTCCGGTAAGCTTTCTGCCGGCTACTATGCAGCAAAAAAAGTAATTTCCTGTGCAAAATTTTAAAATGTTAAATAATGAGATCGTGGTTGGAGGGAGAGACTAAGAGGGATGGGATGGGACAAAGAAACTCACAGCACGAACGCCATTGAGGTCGGCTCCTTGCCATATCAGCAAGTGTGTCCAACCAAACGTGTTCATCGTCTTTCGGACCTCAACCAGGGAGCCGAGACGCTCCAACTGAGGCCAGCTTCGAAGTGAGGGCCTTCATTCCTCTTGACCAAGTCATCGCTTGGTCACCCCTCCTCTTCTTCCATCCACACCCCGGTGCGCAAACAACGCACGTCGCGGGAGTCGGTGGGCTGGCATGCGTAACACGTGGCCGAGCCATCGGAGCCTGGTGCGTGAAATAACGGTGCTGAGCGGTTCTTTTCCTTTTCCTGTGCCTAAACAAGGCGTCGAACACGCTCGTTGCTTACTCGGTGTTCCCACCAGATGTGAGCTAAATTGCGGAGGCACCGGTGGTCGAAGGTAACTAGTCTCTTTATGTCCGTTGATCTAAGGGGCCAGCTTTCACAACCATACAGCAAGGTCGAACGTAGGGCTGCATTGTACACTCCACCCTTCAAGGAGTGAGTGTTGTTGCGCCGGCACCATAAGTGGTGAAGGTTAGCAAAAGCGCCTCGAGAATTTGCTATACGGTTCGTGATCTCGTCTTCAATCCCAAAGGCGCTGATAAAACTGCCTATGTAGTTTACTTTTTGAAGGACTTCTAGCTGATCTCCACCAAGGGTCAGCGAAGGAGGCGGTCCAGGCCAATCTTGGAGGAACGCTTTGCATTTCGGTGGTGCAAAGCAAAGCCCGAAGCGGCAGACTGCCAGTGCTAATCTGTCCAGTACCGCTTGGCACGTCTGGGAGCTGTCATAGATTAGAGCAATATCGTCAGCATACTAAAGTCAACAAGTCGTTCTCCTGGGAGCAGATCCACATCTGCTAAGTCGTGTCCTGTGAACACGACTTCCATTACTTCGTCCATAGCGAAGTTGAAGAGGAAAGGTGACAGCGGGCATCCTTGTCCCACACCACTGGAGATATTGAAGGGCAACGACAGTTTGCCGTAAACCCTCACTCTGCCTGAACTACGCGCTTATAATGCGCGGATAATATTTATATATTTCTCAGGTACACGTTTCCTGAGTAGACAGTCCCAAAGTGCACGCCTATCCACTGGATCGAATGCACCTTTGATATCAAGGAACACGACAACGGTGGGCAGCTAATATGTGACGGTGCTCCAACAACGGACGCAAAGTGAAGATGTGGTCAATGCAGCCACGACCTCAACGCAACCCGGATATCTCTTCACGAATATGGCTTTCGCAAGTGCCAATCAGTCTGTGAAAATGACAGGCAGGCAATTTAGAGGCGATGGAGATCAGACTGATTCCTCCATGGTTGCCGCATTCCGATCGTGAGCCTCCCTTGAAAATTGGGACTATGATGGAGCAGCTCCAGTCGGTTGGGACAGTCTCCTGCTCCCACAGTTTCACTAGGAACTCGTATAAATCATCCGGCTATAAATCGTCAGCTGTACGCCGTAACGGCGACTGCCACCAGTCGCGCGTGGGCTGAGTATACTGCGAGGACGCTCGCCCCAACGCGGATTCGAAGCGGTGACCATATGATCGCAAGCCAGGCGCGCACACAACTCGGCTACCGATCGACTTTGAGTTCGATAGTGATCCACTGGGTCCTAACTGTCCCTGCTAAGAGCATGGCGCGTTACGTAAGTGCCGACGGAAGTGAGATCGAATTCCCATCGAAACTATCCACGTGGGCCTAAAGCGTACTTCATTAGCGAGGTCTGTCCAGTTGAAAGCGAAGCATAATCATCATCATCATCACATCATCATTACCAACAGCAGTACATCAGCCATTTGAACTTATGCTTCGCTACCATACAATCATGAGGACCTCTGAAATAAAGTATAAGAAGAGGGAGAGAGAGGGAGGAAAATCTTAATGCACTAAGCAAACATTCAGGGTCAAGGCGTCTATACCTTGTGTAAACAACATACCGTCACAAACAGCTGGCCATCGTGCAAAGATAAGGCGGCATCGGCGAGAAAGCTTACTTGCGGCTTTCACTGGCACGTGTCATAATCAGCCAGTACCCCGCAGATAACTCAGCACCAAACACACTTTAAACAGACAATCCAATTAGGAGACAGCAGCAGACGCGCCAATGGTATCGGTTGCGAGCGATGTACTGTAAAGTCTCGAGCCAAGCACAAGGCGAGTCACGTGGACTCCAATCCGGAAGGCGAGACGGACCAACGGTACTCAGTTTGGTCGTCAATGACTTCATTTCCCGCTGCCAAGTCAATTTCTGTCCACCTCGAGCCTTGCGCCATCCTCCATCTGGCAGACTAAACAAGGCCATACTAGGTAAGAGGTGACCAGGTATACGTAGCACGTGTCCCAGACAACGCAACTTATTCAGTGCTATCTGTTGTTCTAGGGAGCTAGCAAGATTATCACCACTTAGTACTCGCCTACACACATCATCGTTGCGGACACGCTCGTGGCATCCTACATCAGCAATGCTTCGCAGACAACGATGATCAAAGACATGAAGGCGCCTCAGATCTTCAGATCGAAGGGGCCAAGTCTCACTACCATAGAGCAGAACGGCCCTCACTGTGGCCTAGTATACACGGCCTTTCAGACGGAGGGCAACTCCCTTCTGTCGCCAAAGATGCCTCAGGTTCAAGAAGGTAGATCTGGCTTTTGCAATGCATGAGCTGACGTCAGTTTCTATGCGCCCATCATTGCTGATGCAGCTGCCAAGATAAGTGAAATGATTAATCATCTCGAATTCCTCGTTAGAAAGCGTCAAGGGATCATCAAGTGGCTGGTGGCCCTGCAGCAACACTTTGCACTTTAAAGGTGCGAAGTGCATACCAAATACTGGGATCACTCTGGACAGGCTATTCAGGGTTGATTGTAATGCCCCAACATTGTCGAAAAGCAATACGATATCGTCTGCATAATGTAGATCAACTAA